AAAAAAAAAAAAAGCCTAAATTGGGCAAAAACAACATAATTCTCTTGTAGACATGAAACAGCGTAAGAAATCACATGTGTCCTGACTAAATGAGCAAAAAACAATTGTTAGTATCCTTATTCATCTAGTTTTTGTTTGAGATCTAAATCTTTCAAGCCTTGACAGCTGTAGTTTTAACTCGAGATGGGTTGGGATTTACTACTGAGAACTGGTATAAAATAAGTGGGATTTCTCTAATCCTCATGGCCAGTGAGCACTCACTTCCATTTTCCTTCCTATTCTCTTCTTCACTAATCTTGTGCCCCTCATTTTCAATGCGTGGGTTATCTTTCTTCCCAATGCAGGTAAGCACTCACTTCTATCTTCAACTAGTCTTGTGCCTCTCATTCATATTGCTTTCGAATTCAAACCTTTACTCCGTCCATAAAATGTATTATTTACCATATTATAATACTATGTATATGCCTCAGCAAAAAAACCAATTTTAATTCATTTTGTACACAGTGCAAGATATAAGTCCACAAGTTACCTTATCCCTTTTCAACCATTGATGAGTCCAATTTTTATTTTTTTTTATACATGATTAATCACCATATAGGCCTACTGTTTAACATTTTCTTGCAATATAAGAACATTAACAAAATATACTTGGAAGTTCTGATTTCTAAACAACATAAAACTAGATAGTTATGCTTACCTTTACAGAAGGTGTAAGTAACCTGTAGGCTGATTTTAGAGAGTTAGCTGGTCGTCGAGATTCCTCAGGAGCCTCTTCACTCTCATCATATTCTTGATCGTCATCATCATTTTGACCATGTTCCGTCTCTGTTAAAAGTAACGGTGCTGTGAGGCCCTTCTCAAGATTATCATGTCCTCCTGTCATAAATAAAAAGACGTCAGCTTTCCAAGGATTATACTCAGTTATATACCCATGTTATGTACTCAGTTATATACCCATGTTATGTACTCAGTTATATACCCATGTTATATACTCAGTTATATACCCATGTTATGTGCTGTGAGGCCCTTCTCAAGATTATCATGTCCTCCTGTCAAGATTATCATGTTCTTCAAGTCATATACTCAGTTATGTACCCATGTTGTATACAAAAGCAAAAAAAAAATCAAACACTAGAAAGAAGATTATAAATTGTTCATATACATACCAGCAGTAGACTCCTCTGGGACATGATCGATTTCAGTCTCAATAACAGGTTCTCTGAATGAAACCCACAACCATATAAGATAGATAAACCACCCGATAGCCATCACCCAACCAGGCAAAGTGTTTTGATCGAATGTGATGCCGTAAATTTTGAACTTGGTCTGAAGTAACCCAGCCAGTGCAGGCCCACATGCCATTCCTAGAGCACTAGCACTCACAAATCCAGCTGAAGCCTGCATGCGGGTTTTAAGTGGCACACAATCACTAATGTAACGTCTGTTAACTGCTCTGGCAGAACCCAGCCTACAATCATCAAACAGAGATGGATAATTTCATCAAAACAGGTACATGGACACACACACACACACAGAGAGGGAGAGAGAAAGAGAGACATACCCACAAAACAGTCTTCCAATCAGAAGCACCCATATCGAATCTAGATCATAAGCTGCTGCATACATAAGATTCCCTAAGCAAAGAACAATGCTGCTAAACACGAGAGGCCTGAAGTATGACTTGTTAGACCAAGCACTGAAATACACGGAAGAAAATATCTGGGCAACAGCCATTGCCCCGATCACGACCCCGCAGACCGTTGCAGGCGCTCCAACTCTCATCGAGTAGTCATCAGCAGTGGGGACAATAATGTACGTGTTGACCATGTAAAGGAATGTGTTTGCCAGGTTCAGGAGAAGTGACATAAAATGGTATCTCTTGTCGTCCACAGTCTCCTCTGCCGGCGAGGGCAACTCCTCGTGCATGATGAGCGCATGTTGCCCCAAAAAGTTGAGGAAGTTCGTCGAGTAAGTCAATCTATCAACGGCTGAGTTTATCGAGTCCACAACGGGATCCTGCATATCAGTTTCTTCAAGTGATGAGAAATAGACCAAGTTTACTTTAATTAGATTTTACAAGATGAGTAAATGAAAAGAGTATATGTGCACATACCTGGAGAGGCAGAGCGGGTTGGTCATATATTGATAAGTAGCTTCCTTGGCGATCTTGAAGATCCGCAAGGTTACGTGATATAGCTCCAACAACTGCTCCAAGCCCCTATGTCAAATTGCAAGTTTAGGAGCTAAAAACTAAAGTTTTATTGCACTAAGGCAGATAATCGATTGATAGTGTTGCTTTTATAAAAGGTCGTTCGTCAGGATTCTATCATATTACCACATGCTTAAAAACTTGCTGGAGTTGGGAGTAAGGATGATTAGCACGGGTTTTCACATAGTAATCTGTGAACTTGTACCGAAAACGCTTATCGAACTTCTTGAGGATCTTGCGCAGACCAATAGCGTTCATTTCAACAAAAAATAGAAGCTTCAGAAGATCTTGGCCAACAGCTCTGTAGGCTTCACGCAACTCACATATTTTGGATATATCAGGTTGTTCCTGGAGATAATCTTGTTGCTCGTTAAGCTTGGATATCCTGCTAGCCAACAACCCTTGTTGTTCCAGCATAAACAGCACGATTTTTTCAATCTGGATTGTAACAAAAAATTAATTAAGGCTCAAGTAAAATTTTCGGCAGAAACCGTACTGCTTAACAGGACAAGCACAAAATCTATATTCCAAAAGTACAGTTCAAACATCAATATCATGTTATTATTATTATTATTTTTATTTATTTTTTACCCCTCCAGAAATTTTGTCAACAAGATGCTATACTTTACTTACCCAGATGAAAAATCAATAAAGATGTAAGAAAAATAGAAAATGACCTGAAATATTTCAACCACAATTGAGAGAGAGAGAGATCACGCGTTTCACTTTGCTGTGATACACCTAAAGAGTTATAATAGAGAAATTTGCTTGAAATAAAATCTATATGCTCTCTTAGTTTCTTATACATCTGTAATATTACTCCAGTAACTATAAACATTATCACTGTCTTTTTTTTTTTGCTAAATTCTGCAAATACATACAAGTGAAGGTCACCTTCGGCACCATTATGTTGCCACCTCCATGAAAACTAAAAAGTCAGAGAAAGTAGAACATAAAAATGCGCACAAAAAGACATACAAGAAGCACATTGCGCAGGCAGAATAAAGAGATGGAACATTTTACATAATATTATGCAATTACACTAACCTGATTATCCAGCATTCTAGAGAAATCCTTGAGAACATGTCGGTGCTCCAGGGCTCCAGCCTCGATTTGATTAGCATACTGCTTCACTTTTTTCTTCATGAGTTTGTAGTTGATGTAGTATCTGTATGACATCCAAATATTTCAAGCTATAACATGCATAGAGATTTCATGAAATAAGCAGTTTAAGCTGTTAATACATAGTGTTGCTTCACCTAGATACTTGATTTATACATTTTCCAGTTGATTACCTCATTGTCCTGCTTACTAACAACAATAATATGTAACAACCATCACTCAACAAATAATATGTTTGTCAGAAACAAATAATTGTGCATACCCTTGCCATTCTTGGATTTGCCGTTCCTTCAACTTTTTCCCGAATGCAACCATTTTCTTTTTCTGCAATAAAAATGATACAGATAAGAATTCAATCCCATAAACTCTTGTTTTCAAATTGACAGCTGGTAACTTCAAACTTAGAACAGAGAGCAAGAAATATAAAATTGTCGAAACTCAAGAACTACTTAACTACCACATGATTAAAATATCTAGTCCTGAAAGATATGGTAACATACATCATGCGAGAACCAATACTAACACCAAAAAGTTGCAGCGTACTACGTTTATGAGTTTATGCCATCAAAGCTAATTATGCAGATTCCACCATTGTATGACATCATTAATTAAACAATAAAAAAAAAAGAATCCTTCAACTTTCTCTACATCTCAAAAAGGAACTTCCGTATAAATGTTAAGCTAAACAACTTCAAAATGCATAAGCGAATAAATGCTGACAATATCTATCCGAACTTTACACTACTCCCTCTTCCTCTTCAAAGGACAGACAGAATATTGACATCTGACCACCACACAGTCTGCCCTTCCAAACTGTGCAGCAGCTCAGTAGAAACCAATCTTCTCTCTCTCTCTCTCTCTCTCTCTCTCTCTCTCTCTCTTTGGAACTCATATTCTTTCATTTTAAAAAGCAAATCAAGGCGATATGCAAAAAGGCAAAAAGTGAGAGAATAGGTCTCTTAAGCTATAGTGGCAGGAAAAGAAATTACTAAATCAATATTAGAAGTGATATACCGATGGCCTGAGGTGTTCGTTCGAAAACGGCCGTTCGACAATAGCAGGGCTACAATGAAACAGACAAGTAAACAAAAAGATATCAATCAGAATGAAGCTCAATTTTCATGTATGACTTCAAGTCCGCGAACCAAGCTTATCATATTCACACTTCTCACAAACATCTCAACTATTTTTCCCGTCAAACACACTTTTCTACACTACAAAAACATCCCAACCTAAAAACTCCACTTGTCATCATCATCATCATCACATAAGCCACACTCATTTCTTCACTCTCCACGTGCACAAAATCATAACCAGCATACCAACGACAAACATGTTTACACACACATAGATACAATTCCTGAAACCCCTGCGTAAAATCTAAAAAAAAAAAAAACAGAACACATCAACCTGTTCGTAAAATTTCCCCACCCAGCTGCCGCAAGCACGAAACTTTAACATAAATAAAGCGGAATCAAACCTGACGACTGCGTACGCAGATTCACAGCAGCAGCTAGAATTTGATGAGCATCAACAAACGAACACCGTCCCGAAGTGAAAACTGATCCGGGCCGCGCTGGTTGGGGAAAATCGGATTGTTATCGGGTTCGGATCTTCATACGGACTATCCAATATATATCCGAACTGTGCCGGTCCTCTAGGCGGAGAGTCGGTGGACGGAGATATACAGAAACGAGAGAGAGAGAGAGAGAGAGAGAGAGATTTGATGAGTGTAACCTTCTGTGTTTTCTTTAACTAAATTTGTGGGAGGCTAAAAGTTTTCTGTTTGGAGACAATAATCATAAATAGTTTCATATAAAAATGATTACTCGGTGAGTTTCGAGGTTAGGATTTGGTGGAGATAAAATAAAAAAATAAAATAAAATACTACTAACAAATCTCCATAATTACCAAAAGTAGACGGACATTTTTTTTTATTTTTTTTATTTTTTTTTTGAAACATGGACCTTCCATTTCTGGATCCACAAGGGAACCGACTAATGCGGAATCGAGTCGGGTAGGACCACGCATGCACTTTCTAGTGTGATTGTATTTTGGTTCATTACAATTTTAGTTGGCTCATCTTCTTCCATGAAACCTCGCATATGACGAGTCGGGTTCAATTCGGCTCGCTAAAGTTCAAAAATAATTTTTTAATATTATTTTCTATAATTCACACGTTAAGGTCGAATGCAGTTGGTACAGACCAGAGCTCGACTTTTAATTATTGATAAGCGAGACGAACTCGAAATTCGATTACTAGCTCGTGTGATTAACGGCTCGAGTGGCATTTGCTCGACTCAATTAGTTATATTATGAAATGACAATAGTAGCCTTTCATTTAGTTATTCGAACTAGACTCATTTAAACAACTATAAATGTGGAGCTAGTTCTCGGGCTTTACAAAAGTCGAAATGAATAACACTAACAAACAACTCATGGGATTACAACTCTTCATATAAATCGTATTTCTCCCCGTGTACCTTCCGTAATATATCCAAGTATAATATTTGGGGAAGTGTTACGGTCCCGTTACGGTACCATCTCGTCGAGTGTTTTAACCGTTGGATCATCTATTTTATCTAAGTAAATATGAATTCAACGGTTAAAACAACCGACGGGATGGTATACCATAACGGGACTGTAGCATTTCCCTAATATTTGAATCTCAGATCTTAGTTATGTCTTTTTAATTCACACTGGAGTAAGATAAGATAGTGATTGGCACCATTTTTGTCTAATCCAACTTTAATTATGTAACATGGGGAGTTATAATAAGATTCACAAGTAAATCCATTTATTTCAATAATTGATATGATTGATGTTAATACTCCCATGAGCATCATATTTTACTTAGTTTAGCATCTCAAGTAATCTCTCCTACTTATTTATCTTGTTTTCTTTATAGCATCCACAATCATCAGGTCCACTTACAAAAAATTATATGTCACTTAAGAAATAAACTTAGTCTAAAAAAAAATATTTTCCAATGCAAATAAAAGTAGATTGGGTCAGACGTGGCAACTAGAAAAACAGACTCTGTCTACCCCTACGTCTATTTTAGACACAAGTAGAGACCTTGACTCTTTGCGTTTGAGTGGATTTTGTTTATTTTACATAGTTTTGTCCATGTCATTCAAGATTTGAGTTTATACCACTGTTCTAAAAATCGGCCTAGGCGGCCGCCTAGGCGGCGCCTAGGCGCTAGGCGGTGCCCGGGCGCCTCCGATTTGCACAAATCGGCAGAAAAAATCGGTGAGGCGGCTAGGCGGGCCTAGGCGGCCCTAGGCGCTCCTAGGCGCCCTTGGCGGGCGCGGCGGCCAGGCGGTTAGGCGGCGCCTAGGCGGGAATAGGCGGACCTAGGCGCTCCTAGGCGGGCTCGGCGACATTTTTTCAGTTTTTTTTTTAATTTTTTTAAATTTTTTAAATATTAATTACATTATTTTATTCTCATGTTTTCTTTAAAATATATTAATATTATTATTTGGACTTAGGTGTGTCGATTTATTATAAGTTGAGATAGTTTTATTTTGTAGTTAGTCAAACTAAATAAAAAATAAGGTATTTTATATTGATTTCTAGACCCCGACTAGGCACCGCCTAGGCCCCGCCTAGGCGCTCTAGGCGCTAGGCGCTGGTCGAGCGCCTAGCGGGCGCCTAGCGACTTTTAGAACACTGGTTTATACACATATCACGTAAGCAAAACTAGACTCAATGCATTATAAATGCTCTTAATGGAAACAAGTAATTGCATGTTATATCTTATTGAGTGATGGGAAATGTTATTGCGGACATATATTTTTGTAACAAAATACGATTTATATTATAAATTTCATATTTTTAAGTTGTATTACTTTATAGGATATTTCAGTTTGAAAGTATATATATTGATGAAAAAAAATATAGTTATTTAAATTAGGTATGCTTAACACAGTTTTGCTATAGAGCTATCGGATGGCTCGCTTATGAAGCAATTCATACTTAATCACCAATAGTGCATTGACACGTGTCCTACAATAAATACAACCTAGACAGGTGTCACTATATTAAGTGATGGATGGCTCCATAAGAAAACAATCCGATGGCTCCATAGAATTTTTGATGCTTAACAATAGTCTAACTTTTTATAATTTAACTATTTGAGCGTTACACAGTTAGTAACATTTTGGCATGGTTTGTGAATTATTTGGAACATATTAATTACAAATTTATGTGAATGTTCAATTGGTGAGACCAATATGTGATGTGAGAATGAGATGGTAGCCAAATTTGATAGAGCACTTAATAAATTCTCAAGGTTTTGCAATTAAGTTGGTAATTAAGTTTTGATTTTTCTCAATTGAAAAAAAAAAAAAAGAGAAGAAGAAGAATAAAGTTTTCAAAGCTTTCCATGGCCTCCACATAAACATGTGGCTGTACCTTTGAACTACTTTTAATTAGTCCACATGCTTTGTGTGCCCCACGGCCAAAAATTTAATTTTGGCCCTCTAATTTGTCCATTGTTCATTTTTAGTCCGTTAATTTGTTTCTCATAAAAAATGGCCCATTATGTTACATTTTTTATCAGTTTTAGTATATTACCCCAGTTGGCGGGATTACGAGATGACGTGGATCGGGATTGGAGCTACGTGGAGGGATAAGATGTTGACGTGGTAGGATAAAAAATTGATTTGGCATCTCGTAATCCCAGGCCACGGTATTAGCATACTAAAACTGATGAAAAGTGTAACATAGTGGACCATCTTTAATGAGGGATAAGTTAGTGTACCAAAAATGGACAATGGACAAATTAGCAGACCAAAATTAGATTTTTGCGTGTGCCACATCCACACCCTACGTAAAATATAAAAAAAAAAAAAAAAATACACAGAAAGATTATTTAGAATTTTTTTTAATTTGGATAGTATTTTTTGGTGGGGGTCAAATCGTGATATTTTCTATTATATTTTCATATTATTTCTTTTATTTAGTTATAAATATGATAGTAAAAATTTAAATTGAATTAATTCTTTCTTTCTATTTTGAATTTTACGGAACGTAAAATGTATGTCTCACGTGTGGCAAAAATTTAATTTTGGTCCTCTTAATTAGTCATTGTCCAATCAAACTTTCCTCTCATAAAAAATAGTTCACTATGCTACAATTTCGTCAACTTTAGTACAGTAATCCCGATGAGCCGAATTACGTAATGACGTGGACAAGGATTGAAACGACGTGGATGATAGGACATTGTGTGTATAGAAGTACCATGTCAACTATTGTCACCCTTGCCTCGGTTAATTAGAAGTGAATTTGATTAATTGTGTGAGTTTTGTTTTTTTTAGAATTAATTTTATTTCCTCCTCCAAAAAATATAAAGACCATTCATTCAGCAAAAATATCAAGAACATATATAGTTATTATGCAAGCAAATGAGCAATCATTGGTCGACCACTCAATAATTTGTCCAAAAAAAATAAAAAATCTTCTATAATTAATTTATTAGGTAATTAGTAACACCTTTTCAATTGAATGAGTGGTGTGGGATAAGATATGCAGGTTAGTAGAGAAGCATGACTTTATGTTCATTTTGTCACTTTTCTTCTTGTTGTTATCCAATATTTCATAATTATTTTATACATACAACGCCGTGTATTACATGGGTCCTTGCTAAGTTTTTCTTAAAATCTAAAATTAATGAGAAAAAATAGTTGAAAATTTAAATATCATTTATAAAAATATAATATATTATTATATATTTAGTATGCTTTTTATTTGTCCAACTTACATGTGTTATATTATAATAATTTTTAAAACTTACAACATATAACTACATTAAACATAAATATATCAATTGAGAAATAATTGTATTTTTGTAATGAATTTTAATAAATATTATTATTTTTATTATTATAAAGACAAATATAATTTAATTATTTCATATATACAATATGGATGTCAAATCGAAGATCATCACAAGATGATTAATTTGATATATTATATATGTAAAACCGATAAGTAATACAAAAGCTATCAACTTTTAAAATACATTTATAATTCAATAGCTAATTGAAGTAAACAAATCAAAATTCAGGGATATATTAGTCACTTAGTGCCTCAGTATGTAAAATTACAAGGAAATTAAGGGTTATATTAGTACAATTGATATTCAAATACCTAAGTTAGCTAAATAATATTTATGAAATTTTCAAACCTAAATTTGATTAATTATTAATATATTAATTGTCCAAATCTAATTACGAAGCATGATTCTTTGCCAAGTAGAATTCCGAAGCACCAGAAGCAGCCACGTAGGCTCAGCGCATTCTGGAATAATATATAGGGAGGATTAATTATTAATATATCTGCTAAATTCATAAGAGAGAACATGACAATAGAAAGAAGATGATTTCTTGTGTATTTTGTAGGAAGAGTGTATACAGAGAATATATAGAGATTACAAGAGATAAAATCATATCAAATAAAATATGTAGATACCAAAAATAACTATAAGAAATTATCGTCCATAATTATCAGATCTTCCATCTGTTACACCC